CCAGGGAGAGAGGCAACACAGTAACTCGGGCATCACATCACCACCAAGCGCGCCTGTTCACCTACGTGCCACACGCTGTGTGGGTGTCTGCTCTTCATCTGGTTTAACCCCACGCTAGGAGGTGGCTTGAGGACCTTCCTTTGAGAGCCCAGGGAACCGAGGGATGGAGAGGCTGAGTGACCTGCCCCAAAACACACAGATGACAAGTGGCCTAGCTAGGATTCAACCCAGACATCTCTGTGAATCAAACCCACACTTAATCACTGTGTGACACTCCCAGAGTTGGAATTTAAGGAACACAGGAGGGGCAAGGGAGAGGGTTAGTGGGGCTACAGGCTTCTTGGGCTAGAGTACTATTCCACACGGTAAGCTCTTACCAGTTACTTAACAATAACTGAACAAGCAAAGGTAAGAATCATAGAGAATGACAGAGCCTAGACCTTCAAAGATGAAAAATGCCAAAAATTGGAGCTTTGCAAAATCTCCAATTTGAACATCAGTGTTGAAGCACTTGTGATAATTCAGATGGGAAAAATCTCATAACATATGTCCTATCTACAAAGAAAGGGTGACTGGCATGTATGATTTCCATGAGGATGTTTACTTACCTTGGAAAATAAATGACTTCTAGAACTTTGGAAGTACAGAGGTTAAGGAAATGCTCTGCAGTGCTTGGCAAACAAGCCACCAGGTGTGGGAGGTTCTGCCACGAGGCCAGAAGTGGCGGAGCCAGCCCCACGTAGGCTCTTCTTATTGAGCACACCTGGATCGATCAAGTGTTGAGGGATAAGAAACTTCCTAATGTTAGATTGTTTACCTTATTGGATAAAACTGAGAAATACCAGGTAATATTTTAGCTAGGCTGGCTGGAGAAAACGTATACAAGTAAAACTATTTCTTTTAAGAATAGTCAACAATTCAGATTATTGTTCCCCTACTAACTTTAAAGAAGGGAGCTGAGAACAGGGAGACAAAATTATTGAATTACTAATAATGACAATGCCCCAGATGTTTCTGGGCTCTAAGAACAACATCAGAAAGACACAGATGGCAGAAGCCAGGGGTACCAGTCTTAGATTGTCTGGGCAAAGACTAGTGTTTGGGTGTAGCATATAATTCACACGAGATAGGATGGTTGAGAAGAAGCAGACTTGCTCTTTCACATTGTCACAATAACACCAAGATCTTAAGGCATAATAGTTTCTCTATTTTTGAAGCATTTTTTCACAGAGGGTCAGAGATATGAGAGAATCGTGGCCTGACTGAGCATGCCTGCTTACTGTTCCTGGACACGTTCCGCTCATGTGTGACTGTGTAGGCAGACACCCTGGCACACAACACAACTCTGCCTCTCCTAGCAGTCAGTGTTGGTTTTAGCGTCACCTTGAAAGGTGGAGCTTCTGGAAGGATATGTTACCTTTGCTTCTCAGGAACTGTGGAACCTACATAGCTTCCAAATCAGAACTGCATTTCATGGGAGGAAAATGCTGTTTCTGTGACGGATGTTGCTAAGGGGCCATTGAATATTTCAGCAATAGCACAACTACCTGTGTAGATGTGCATGTTGGTGTTTGGGGTCGGGGGTTGTTTTGACAGGTTTGTGCGTAGGTGTCAGAAGAGTTTTTGTGACTATGACTGTATTTCTATGTGTAGAGGGAAGATATTTAGTGTTCCCTTTCAGAACTGAGAACTGAAAAAGTCAACAGAGACCTAGTTATTAAGATCTCATTTGGGGACATTAACTATTTATTTTCTTTTTCTGAAAAGGGGTTGAGTAAAGAAATAAAGGCAATAGAAGAGATAAAAATTCCCTTCACCGTTGCATGAAAATGCCTAACAGGCTCCTAACCTGACCTGCCCTCAATTCACATTTTAACGCCAGTTTGACTCCTGCTTGGTGTCTGAAAGGTGAGGCAGGCTTCTGTTTACAGTCAGATGGATTTGATTTGCAGCGATCAGAGGTTTGCACATAATATATAATTATTCTGGGCAGTGAACACCGTAAAATGGAATGCGGGACAGTTTAGAGAATTTAGTACTATTATTTTATTCACCCATACAAAGCATAAGGAACCCATTCTCTTTCTTGACAGATGGATTTCAGGGGAAAGTCTCAGCTCAGAACAATAATTGTGGCCACAGCATAACTCTCCGCACTTTGTGGGGTTTAATGGACTTTTCTTTCCAGTCCTCAAAAAGCAGCAACTGGCATTTGCTTGAGCCCTGACTGAGGTGTGGAAAATCTGTCAAGTTTTCTCCACTGCTTACCCTGGCCACAATTATACGGTCCATGTGCAGATTAGCTGCAAAGTCATTCCTCCTCCAGGAGTGACAAGATTTCCCCAAATGAAAAACGGTACCTACTGTATCCTCTAGTGCCCGTCTGCCTTAGAAAGGCGGGGTGGGGGGAGGAGCATGTAGGGAGTTTGGGGAGAAATGCCTTCAAAAGAAAGCATAACAACGGGAAAAGTAGCTGTAACAGGGTGGTGACATGGCAGGAACAGAGAGCAGCATTGTTGCGGGCGGAGTAATCCTGTGACACACTGCTGTCACTCACCACCCGGCTCCCTGCCGTGCCAGCCAGACATCAAAGGCTGCCCCATACCATCTTACATGCTCTTTATCGGCTAATCAGTCCATTCTTCCCTAAATAAAGCCCTGTTAAATCCCCTGCTCACAGGGGTACAGTGGTCTTGGTGCCCATCTGCTAGTGGGGGTCAGCTGAGGCAGGAGGCGGCGGGTTCTCTCTCCCTAGCGGCTTCTCAAGGTAAGGACAATGCTGTCTCCAACTCCCCCTCCCAAATGCCTCGCTGCTTCACTTTCCAGGATCTGGGTAGGCACTGAGGACGTCCTGGTCTGAAGAGCTGCTATCTGGATTAACACTTGCTAATGAAATTTCTAGCCATAAAGGTAGATCATCTGCTAACGATAAAACATTGGGATTGCATTTATTTTCGGGGACAGGAGTAAACAGAGATATGTGTTTCTTAACAGTTCATCATTTGGCAGGTCTATTCCTATGTTCTCTGAGTGTCAACATTTCAGAGAAGGTGACACAGTGGTCAGACTTCTGATTATGAGGCCACTCTCAGATGCTGACCAGGAAGTCTCGTGGTTCCATTACACACTTGAAAACGAAGATACCAGCGACAGCAAATCGAAAGACAGGAACCCAACTATCAGGCCCTGCAGCCCAAAATCTTGACACAGCCATGTGCGTCTTCTGCCCTCTGGGAGAAGGACCTGGCTCCAGCAGAGGGGGAACAGAGAAGGCTCTGGGCTGCATGCAGCGCTGTTTTGCACCCTGCACCTCAAAACTGCCCAGAAGAAATCGGAACTGGATTCGCCTACTCTAACCTGGGCATTGCAGTACAGCAGCATCCAGAGAAACAGTTTATATCTGCCTCACAGAATTACTAGAGCATTGTCCTATGTGGGAGTTATTCATATCAGAAAAAAATCAACCATCTTAAAAATTCCAGAATCAGGTCTCGAATTAAGCAACACTGTATCTATTACAGAGAGCCCTGCAGGTGCCAAATCCTCAGACAGGCCAAGCTGGGTGTCCCAGAATCTTAACCCCTCTGCTTTCCAGCTCTCTGTCCTAAGGAGCTTCATCTGTAGGCCCTGCATGGTTCGAAAGGCATGTTTACACATATCACCTAATTTTGATTCTCAAAACAATCTTGTGAAGTAACTAAAAATATGGATTTTTTTCTTTTTTGCAGCTGAGGAGAGCCAGGAACTGAGACATTAAGAAATGATAAAGTCTAAAATTCGCATCAGAATGGAGTTGGGACTTAAATCCAAGTTCCCCAACTCTAAGACCACGGCCATTTCCCTACCCTGGGCAGTCCTCCTCCCTTTGCCATGGCAAGCTAGACAGACTGGGCCCTGACAAGGCTGACGGAGTAATCACCACTGCTCAGCGAATAAGCAAGTCAGACACCGCATGGGAATACGCAGCAAAGTGTGGTACTGCCCACAGATTCTCCGAGTCAGGGCAGGTATGTTGTGGCATTTGTAATTAATGTGTAAAAAGAAGGATATACAATGCAAAGTAACTGGCGCCCAGGGCAAGTGAAAGAAAAGTCTTTGTGCCCCCAAACATTTGTTCAATGCAGCCTTCCCACCGCACCTGCATAAGCAATCCCGGCCACGCACCCCAAAGTTCCCTCCAAGAGCAGCTCACGGGGGTCTCACACGCTCTAGCTCCTGTGAGGGCTGGGTCTGGCACTAAAAACATACCATAGCTTTGAGGAGAGGAAGAAGACCCTTTACGAATATAGTGTGCTGAGGGAAAGCACTTCAGCATTGTGAAGATGTACTCAGAGCAGCCTCCCACCCACAGGGCAACGCCCCTCCCTCAGTCTGCTCTCACCAGGACTCTGGACAGCTGTGGGAGAACTGCGCTTTTTGGGAGAAGAGTGGAAGACTTCATTGCTCTTGCTTCTATGAGAGCCCTGCACTGAAGTGCACCTCAGCACCATGGAGCCCAGCGCTAATCCCTGGGACCCAGCATGCCGGGAGATCTGGGCTTCAGCAGCGCCTGGAATCTGAGGCTCGGCACTCGCCCCTCCCATCTCAGTGGGCCAAGGTGCGACACCAGGGCTAGTTGCATGGAATATATAACGAGTCTTCGTATGAATCTCAGACGCTTTCCAGGGTGGACCACAGCACAACTGAAGCTCCGAATGGCCAGTCCCCCTGGTTACTCTACTGGTGGACAGCGAACATTACCCCGTCATTTTGTCTTCTGCTCTTGTGAACCCCACTACCTCTGGGCCCAACAGGAGACGACACTGAATTTCTGCAAGATTAGGTATGTTTCCTCTTGTTCCAAGTGCTTACTGTATTGGAGAAGGGCAGATCCTAGCGGTATGGGTTTCCATTGAGCGTTTCGGCCTGCCAATACCACCTCCCTGTTGCTGTCGGAAAAGAGCTCTCCACGCTCATCCAGCTTGCAGCCATTTGTCACAGGGTAAATTCAGTTCATTTACCTTTTCAGGTTCGCTTTCCTCTTCTTTATCGCTGAGACAGTAAGATTTTGGGGGGCATCTCTTAGCCCAAAGCTCTTAGCCACATGCCCAAGGTGGAGGGATCGAACATGGAAGATGTGCTTCAGCTCTCTGGGGTAGGTTGCGTAGGCTCGGATGAAGGACTGCAGAGCTGAAAGACAAATGATGGGAGAGGGAGGCTGTCGGCCTGGGGTCTCGAATTTCCAAAGTTGCCCCAGCCTAATGGTTATTCTACAGACTGCGTCTTGCCAGGCAATGGGAGCACAACCAGGATAGTTAGAACATACACTGCCAACCTAAATCTGTGCTTCTGTGTATTTGTTTAATTCCTAAAAAACACAACAAAATGAACAAAACCAAAAACTATATAGATCTATCACTTGAATATCACTCAATTATCATATTGAATAAACCCAATAAAATTTCAGACTTTACGCAGAGCTCATAACAATTCAACAGGGCAGGTCCCCGTTTTCTTCTTTGTCATAGTCTTGGGCCTAGCACAGCACCTGGTACACAGCAGGCACTTGATACATGTTTGTTGTATAAATGAATGAAAGAGAGACTGAGTGAAGAAAACTAAGAAATGATCAAAATAAGACACCATTTTCTTATGTCAATGAGGAAATCATTAATGAGACATTTATATTAGAAAAATGTTTTCCTAATTAAATTTTAGTTATTTTTTTGACTAGTTAATGCATGTAAGTGTTACAAAATTCAGAGTTCAAATGGCTTTAGTGTGACTGTCATGCTTACTATGAATGAACGACACCACGGTGAGTGCCTCTCCACCACAAGCCCCACCTCCAGCCCCCCACCCAGAGGCAGTCACTGATACCACTTCTCCGTGTGTTCATGGGACTTTAAAACCAAGTTCACTCTAAAAGTATCCAGGATTAAGCAATACAGTGCTTCTTACTCATTCAAAAAATGCACAAAAAAGGAAATGAAAAAAATAAAAAGAATTTTTCAAAGGAGAAAGGAAATTATTAAATATCTAAAATGGCCCATGAAATGGTTTACCTCTTGAGGACTGCCAACAATTTAGAGAAGTTCATCAAATATTCTGGCAGGAAACTTTCAGTCCCATTTTAAAGTTAAGAAAACAGGTCCTTGTTCTAGATCCCAGCTCTCACCAGAGAAGAGCCAGACTCAGTTCCTAGGCGGGTGGAGCTTTGGCTACACCTTAACTAGGCATTCCTTTGAGTAAAGATTGCCCTATCCCAAGGTCTCCCTTGAATATCTTGGAATAACAATGAGAATTGGGTGTCTGCCCTCTTCTCACTCCAACAAGGAAGGAGGGAATTTTCCTGAAAAGGGCTCCCCATCCCAGCCCTGCTCTTTCCTTCCAACCCTGCTCTTCTGTCAGCCAAGCCAGAGCTCAGCCCTGCCTTGGCTGATGAAAGGAGCCACTAAACCCCAGCCTCCCTCACCCTCACTTGTTGAGCCACTGGACTGGCAAGTTTGCCCACAGCTTAAATGTAATATCCCAGCAGTACCTGGAGATTGGCGTTTATGAACAGTAATAAAAAGTGTCATTTTAACAGATCAGCTCCTGGAAGGATCCTGGGGAATCCATCAAAGCTCTATTTACTGAGCAAAGTGAACTCCTTTTCCCAATCGATGAGAAATAATAACCAAGGCAACTCCTTTGCACCCCTCTCTTAAATCTGTGCTTACTCCCCTTTTTAATAATGGGGGACTTTTTCAAAGAAAATCTAACACTTCAAATGGTCTGTACTGTTTGGAGGGTTCTGACACCAGGCTCCTAGACACAGAGCTACATAGTCAAGTCCTCAGAGAGAAAAGCTCTACAACTACGATGACCCAGGAGATTTAAGACTCTTCTCTACCTCCCTTTCTTTCCTCAACCCTGAACATTTCCCTGGTGTCTAAAAAAACCAGTCTGAAACCAAGCCAAACCAAACCAAACCAAGAGTCGGCATTTTCCAAACCTCAGTTACCCAAACACTGCCTAGGTCTCTTCATTTCGTACCTCTCTTCTGCGTAAGTGGATTAGCCCCTGGGCTTTCGCCTTGCTCACCTCTCTCCCTCTCCTTCTTTCTACCAGTCTTAGGAGCTGAGCACCGAGAGCATCTGTCCCAGGAGACGTAGGTGCCCAGCTAACAGCTTTACAGGGATAATGAGTTCGCCAAGAAATGGCAGGAAGTGTTTTCTCCCCAGACAACTTGGTCAGGCAGCATTTCGCACTGCATATTTTTACTAAACCTCCTTGTCCTCAAGGCTCCTGTCCCACTGGGGACAGCGACAGTTGGTTGTCCTCACGTACTTGCACAGACTCCCATGTTTGGATAATTCAGAGAAGCAGGAATTTCAGATGCAGCAGCAGCTGTTTGTAGGACCTTCCAAGGGGCAGGAAGTGGCTCATGTTGGCAATGTCTAGGACGTACAGGAGGAAGAGGGGCTGAGGCACCAACACGAGCAGAAAGCAGAGAAGTAGCAAAAGTAGACATTTATTTGGGGTGACGGATGAAGCTACAGGCAATTAGCGTTCAGTGCATTATAGTCACTGATTCCTATTTCTTGCCAACTATTTAAGGTACATGAATTAGTGGAAATCTATTTTAAAATATCCCACATGGACATTTTGTCCTTTTTCATTCCTGGACATCTGGATCAGAAATAATGGTATTTTATGGATGACTCTTAAGATTAAAGAGGTAGAAAGGAATAACTCCAGCCTGAAAGGTGAGGATAATCCTTACTCCTCCACCCCAACCCCTGCTCCCACAAGGCACCCATCCATACAGAGTAAAGGCACATGCATCTTCCTACTGACACACCAATGGGCAACAACCACTGAGAGAATGCCAGAAAGGAAGTGTCTTGTTACAATTCTCTTAAAGACAAAGCATTTGGCAAAGTGCCCAGCCTACCTCTGCTCCCACTGAGGGGAGAAGGATGATTTGTCATCACTAGTGTGGGTTTTTGTGACTGTGAGAAGCATCCCTTCCAAGCACAGGCATAAATCCTACACATGGAGTTCCTGCTCTTCAGGGAGACCTGAAGACGGAGATGATTAAACCACAGCAACAGTGGTCATCCGCAGGTAGAGGACTCCATTTTCTGAAATTTTTGTTCCTCAGTTTGGAATTTAAACTCATGTTACCACTATTTTTATAACTGGAATCCTTAGCTGAAAGAGGCAAAAGTGAGAGGAAAAAAAGGGGTAACTGCTTTTGGAGACTGACAACAATTAAATGCTGGTTATTAACAAGGACTGGGTCAGAAAATGCAAAAGGAAAAACAAATGCACACTTGGCCCAGTTTCCAACTAGTTTTCTGCCATAAAGGCAAAAAGCCAGCTGCTTTGTTAATTATTCATGAGGTGGGTTCTGCAATGGCATAAAAGGGAAGCAAGTCAGTAGTGGAGAATTTGCATATGCAGATTGAAATGCAAAAGATAATATCAACTTATAGAGAGCAGTGGCTGTTCCTGTGTTGTGAATTCAATACTTTCGGGTGGCAAATACGTGTATATTCTCCCAAACCTCCAGAATTCACAATCCTAAGTAACAGGAGAGAAAAGAATACTGGAGAGCTTCACATCTGAAATGGGATGACTGAAGTCTGCCATAGACTGTGCTGTGGAAATCAATCAGCAAATGAGAGAAACAATATATTTATTTCCTTTGTGGTATATGTCCATTGGGGAGTGACCCTGCTCCGATATCCTTTAAACCTGCAGTCCTCAATTCCTGGGCCTCAGACTGGTACCAGTCTGTGGCCTGTGTAGGAGGTGAGTGGAAGGCAGCAAGCAAAGCTTCATCTGTATTTACAGCCGCTCCCCATCCCTGCCATCACTGCATAAGCTCTGCCTCCTGTCAGATCAGGGGCAGCATTAGATTCTCATAATTGCGAGGATCTAGGTTGCGAGCCACTTATGAGAATCTCATGCCTGATCTGAGGTGGAGCTGAGGCGGTGATGCTAGCGCTGGGGAGTGGCTGCAAATACAGATTATCACTAGCAGAGAAGTTTGACTGCACAGAGACCATAATAAATCAATAGCTTGCAGACTCATATCAAAACCCTATCAGTGAGCAGCAAGTGACAATGTCATAATAATAGAAATAAAGTGCACAATAAACATAATGCGCTTGAATTATCCCAAAACCATCCCCCCCAACCCCAGTCCGTGGAAAAATTGTTTTCCATGAAACCAGTCCCTGGGGCCAAAAAGGCTGGAGACCGCTGCTTTAAACAGAAGACAACTCCGCTTGTTTCTCAGTATTAACAAGTTCAATGGTGAAAATGATGAGAGAAAACCCAAAACCAAATTCTCTAAGGATTGCTGACTGTAACTTCTACTCTGATGACCCAGACACCTTGAAATAGTTGTAGTCTTGCCAAAATATCCAAAACACCACTGACACCAAAATTAAAGATGATAGCGTGGGTTTGATTTATTTCTTTCCATTGCAACTTTGTTATTAGCCCTGAAATTCAGCAGCACAATACCTAGTTATGTTCTGCACAGCCAGCTGAATTTGCCTAACTTTCATCAAAGGTCCAAACTCTGTGAAGTTACACTATGACAAATACCCTATTCCTCTTGAGAGACACAGTCTAGCACTCCTCTAGAGATAGGAAGGTAGGAAAATCCTTAGGAATTGTTGAATTCACTTTAGGGAAATGCTAAGACAGGATACTATTAGTGAAAAGTCTATAAGCATATACAGTATATACACAGGGTATACAGTGGCAATTAGTGGGATTTCATCTTTTACCTCGTGCAGTTCTGACTTATTTGAGTTTTATGATGGCAACCAAGGATTGCTTTTATAATGTGCTAAAGGCATATATAACAGGTACTTGAAAATATTTGCTGACTAACCTGTTTTTATCATCTATTTCCTGGTGACCACAGTGTCCCTAAACCAGCCTCCCAACTTTTACCCTTGCCCCAGAGTTTACTCTCACAAAGCGGCCAGGCGACCTTTCTCGAACCTTTGTCAGATCACCACGTCTCTGCTCAAGGCCCTCCAATGACTCCCACTTCACTCAGAGAAACCCAAATATCACCTTCACAATGAGGCTCACTCTGACCACCCTATTTAAAATGCAGTCTGCTCTGTCAGCCCTTTCATATCCCTTATCCTGCTCTATTTTTTCACAGCTCTATCACCTTTAAATAGGCTATCTACTTTATTTATTATGTTTATTTGCTCACTGTTTGCTGTCCCCATACTCCACTAACGTTAGCTGCACAAAGGTGAGGATTTTTGTCTGTTTTGACTTCATATATTCCAAGCACTCAGAATAGTGCCTAATTCAATAAATATTTGCTAACTGGATGATTTTAAAGAAGATAATTTCTATTTATAAAAAGAAAGGGTGCTACATTGTTCCTATATTGGTAAGCCAGCCTGGCATTTTTTTCAAAATAGCAGGTAACTAACAAAAAGAATTGTGGACCCTCCAATGTGAAGTAAGTCTCATTAGCACACGAGTCAGTCACCAGCCAAGACATTCCACTATAAAAAAGTATCAGCTATCATAAGCCCCATTCCCCCTCACACTGCTCATTGCTCACAGTGAACTGCCAAGACCACGCCTAATGTCTGCTGATCCCAGGAGCCAATTTATTCTACAAAGGGTCTGAATATTACATCAATACCTAACTCTTTTACAAATTTCCTAGGAATTGAGTTCATGGTGTATGGCTCTTCCTCATCACTGTTCTTTCTCATTTTTCTTTGTACCTTCAAATAGGAACTGCTTAGGTCTAGTATTTCCAGCCCTTACCTTCATCTCTAATTTTCATCTCTACAACTATTTCTACTGACATGACACATCTCTTCTATCTGATTTTCAAAGAAAGAGAAAAACGGATCCCTAAGATCCAAGTTGTTGGGTCAAAGCTCTAGTCCTAATATAAGCCAAGATAAAGCCTCATTTGTGCAAAACATGGGGAAGGATGAAATTAACATTTAATATCACTTTAAAGCCTTCCGTGCCTGCTTCCAAACCCTGCAGAATTATGGAGATTGAAGGCTTTGGCTTGTGAGCAGAGATCCCAGGTTGGACTCAACTTGTTTGGGGGTATGCAGGTGAAGGTGGGGGACAGTGCACTGCTGGGCTATCCATTCCACAATCACCTAAGAAATCGACTGACCTTTCTTTGCCCAAGAGACCCTCTTCTCATTGGAGTGCACATAATCTTCAAATATCGTCTGCAAGACCGTGGCTCGCTCTCGGATTTCCTGGGGGCCAACAGCATGGGATTTCTGGGAGGGTGACGGAAGGATTAAAGGAGAGACAGAGTCAGAGTCAGAAATAATGAAGCAGTTTATAATAGATTTAATAACAGTAAAATCACACAGTAACTACCTAGGGGCCAACAAGGGTAATCCTTTCAATATTACTAGGGAAAAAAATGGAGCTATAAAGATGTTAAAGTCAAGCAATGAGGGTGGCTTTGTGACGGAGCAGATCAGGTCTACTTATTTATTTACTTACTTATTTACTTACTTTTTTTCCTGACCTTCTTTTAAATGTTTAAAATGAAAGACCGCTAGAGACACTTTGGAATTTTCCAAGTCCAATTCAAACATCAATTGACATAAACTATTTTCAAATGAATCTTTTATCTTCTATAAATCTTCTCCCTTCTCTTACACTCACCTGTGGAACACTGGCAATTCCTCTTTGAGAGCATTCCACAGTGACCCGCCTAAAATTCTGCCTTTAAAAGTTACCCCTATTCTTGAATTTCAGAGCAGGCTTCCTCAATTCCTAGAGAGGTTCAGACTTTGAGTGTTTTAGACTCATTCCTTCAGCCCATAACCACTGTGATGAGTTCCCAGGAACCTATTAAGGAGTGGGCTATTCCAGCAAATCACATTCAAAGACAACCTTGATCTTTGCAGCAAACTGTTCCTCTGTAAGTACCATCTGTATGCACTGAAATACCCTACAGATCGAAAATGTTAATAAGATATATAATCATTTCCTTTTCATCCTTTAACAGTCCCAGAGAAAAGATTTCCTTTTTGAATATCCCCACTAAAAACCAGTGGTTTTTGTTTCCTGCATCTTAAAACAAACTCGAACACTTTCTACTTGAATGTGAAAATGCGATCCGAGGGAACACAGATTCTCCAACCCAATGACGCCAATGAGCCAAATGATGCTGACCATTTGAGAGGTGCTGCTAAGCCTCTACCTCTACCACCCCCCATCGTGGGATCCTGGGGGAGAGCTAGTGTGAGGCCTGGGTCATGCTTCTTAACCTTGCAGCAGAGAGGGTACGGGTGCCTGCATCTGCCCTAACCTAGACTCTCCAAGCCTCTTTCACTTTTGAGACTGACAGAGAAAGAACAAAGGAGAGAGAAGAAAAAGCCCCATTCTTTGGATCGACATTCATCTCTACATTAATAGAGATTTAACAACCTGAAAATGTTTTTAGTTCAGTCAAATCATTCCTGCTACCTGTTTGGTTGATGACAGTCTAGCTGATTTCACAGTACAAGGTCCCCCTCAGGGTTCTATCCGCTAAAGTGTCAGGAGAAAAGTCACTAAGGAGCTGTGTTACCAAAGTGGACATTTGCTATTGTCATTAACAAGGATTTTTTTTTTTACCCTCTTAACTGATGTGAAATGCAAACTTTTCTTGCTGCCCTCCTTTCGTTAAGCCACCTCAGCAGTGCAACTGTCACCTTCTCTGCGTTTTTTTTTTTTTAATATGAATGTGAAATTAGCGAGGATGCCCTTTCCCCTGGCGGACAGAATCCTCTGTTATTAAAAAGTAAAGCACTTTAATAATGAAAACTTTTTCCTCTTTTTCCTGTGTTTTAACTGTTTAAAATTAATGAGAAGGGCAGAATGGTTGTCAAAGCGATATTGAAAGCCGGGCAGCCAGGACCGAATAAGCACAAAAATCCCTCTAGAGTGTTAAATAAACAGAGCTCCAGCCCTCTCCGAATCCCTCTGTTGGTTATTGTATACATTCTGTAACAGCTCTCAGAATAGATCTGAGAGCCAGGGAGGCAGAGAGGTTTCAGAATTCCAATAAAGGCCTCAAATTAAAGACAGCTTGGTGCGAATTCCAGGAGAAAATTAAAGAGACCTCAAGCTTAAGTGACAGGTGACTTGCTTCTGTGTCACAACTGTCAGGGGATTTAGTGATAATATGGCAATATATTACAAAGGGCTTTTCTTATTCCCCCCTTTAGGTTTCAAAATGAGGCATCTTTTCTTCCCAACCAACCAAAAAAAATTACATATATATAATGTGAGTGTGTATACAAGTGAAATAGGTAGAAAAAAATGATAAAACTAGGTTCACACATTTGGAATGATGAGGTCAGTTTTAGTAAAATATAAGAAAAAGTTAATGACAGAAAATACAATAATACAGTACTTAGAAAAAACGCCTCTTACTCCTCCCTACACCTCATTTCCAGAAATACTTTAAAATTGCTTCTCTTGAGAACGAATGAGGTATTTTTCAGTTGTCTTCTGGGGAGGACAGTCTAAATTGAAACTGAAGACGAGGGGGGCAGAGTTAAGCAGCAGCGTCTCCGCCCCAGACAGGGAAAACGCTCCTGTAAGGAGTGGGTCAAAGCCCTGAGGGCACACGAGCGCCTGGCGGGCCGGCTCTCCCACCCTTGAAGACACGGATTCGGCACTGGTTAATGAAGCTAACTTGCCACTGCTGGACCATGGGCAGTTCAGGAAACACGTTTCCAACCATCTATCCAAACTCAACGCACCTTTGTCTCTAATACCCTACTGATCTTGGAAAGAACAGGCCATGAAAAAGGATGAGCAAGCGGGCTCTGAACTTAAAATCTCATAATGGCAGCAACGGTTCGTTAGGGTAAGTTTACTGGCATATTTCATAGGACAAAAAAACTTGTAGGAAAAATGTTTGGGTGTGCGAATACTCTGGTGATGGAAATCACACCCCTATCAAGGAGCAACAGATGAGTCTAAGATAACCAGGCTGGACTATTTCTGTTATGAAAAGTTTTAGATGGTAGCAATGGTAAGGGAAGGTTTTTATATATGAAATGATTTTGTTTTAATCACTTTATTGCCATGCTGAGTTTTACCCCCATGGTCCCTAGAACCTTCTGAGTGCTTCTCAGTAAAGTTGAAAGATCAAATTTATTCTCTTTGTAGGTGCGTGAACATTCACACACCCAGACATAGCTATATATATTTTATATGCCTAAATATGAAATATACATTTTACAGATGCTTCACTCGCTTTCTTTATTTTCACAGAAGCCCAAAAATGTATGTGCCAAAGGGACATTTACAATGGACTTCAATCAAGCTGGGTGAAGAGGGGCATTATAATGAGGCACCTGGCTATAGCACAAAAAGCCCATCCACTGCACCTACACTAATGTGCCTAGCATTAGCCATACACTCAAGACTTGCCCAGATTGCAAGCAGCAATTAAGACATACTGTATTTCTTATGCAAAACAGAATTAAAAGTTATATCCAGCATCTACTTTATTCTTTTTACTACTGACATAGATTGTGCACATAAAATACTCTCTCTAGCTGTGTGTCTATGTAATAATTGGTAACATAATCAACTTAGCTTAGTTTTTCTTTTTCGTTTGAATTAAAGTTCAGTTTGACCCAATAAGCCAGGTCTTTAGCAACATGACACCTAGAACCCAGCATGATTAATTTAGCTTTCTAAGTTAACCAGTTATATCAGTGTCAGTGAAAGCCCCAACCTTGCTTAGCATGTTTTCTTTCTAAAAACAAAGATCACCAAACCTTAAATATAGCTAAGTATCCAAATCATTCCTATCCATCATGGCAAGAGCTTGGGCTGAGATAATAAGACAGAGTCTCTGGCCCTAGGAATTTACATGGTCCAGAACTGTGCACAGTATGTTAAGACTCATTTTATTTAAACCTTACAGCAATCTTAAGAGAGTGGTACTCTTGTTCTCCTCATTTTACAGATGGGAATACTGAGGCTGGGGAGAAGATTATCTGCCCAAAGGTTGCAGAGCTACCAGCTCTGAGGCAAGGATTCAGATCCACGTCTGTCTGACTCTGGGATGCGGCTCCTACCCCGGATGTTATAATGGTTCCTTAAGTCTCAGAAAAGCTTCGAGGCTGGCCTCAAGCCAGGGAAGAGGCTTAAGGAGAAGAATAGATGCTGCAGGGCCACAGAAGGGCAGGTGTTACAAAAAAAATGACTGTGGCTTGTTGCTGAAAGAGCAAAGGGAAACGCAGCTGCTTTGCTCCTTCACTGGGGACATGTCCTTCAGGAGGGACTTAATGCCCTTCTGCAGCTTCCCTGAGCTGCGCAGATATACACAACGATCAACTCCCTGGAGAGAAATGATCTGTGCTCAGGGATATAGACTGACAACAAAGCCGGTCCCAGAAAGAGTATCAAACCTAAGACTAGGTTTGATCAAACTTCTATTGCCTCATTTTGTAATTTTGCTGCTCTTATTTCTGGAGAGCAAGCAGATGCTAATGTTCCACTTACTGTGATATAGCAAAAAAGGGACTCTGGGCTTCACGTCACTGAGTCTGGGCCTTAACTTCACATCTGCTACTGACTTACGTGACTACAAGTAATAACAGCAGTAATGATACTCAATACCATTTGGTACTGTGCATTGTAATTAGGGCTTTAGGACTATTTCTCACACAACTCTCTAATCTCCTTATGAGAAGAACACTATTATTACCTCAATTTTACACATAAGTAAACTGAGGTTCAGAAAGGTCCAATGCTCGCCAAAGTCACACAGCTAGTAAGTGACAGATTAGGAATCTCATCCAAAGGCCATACTCTTAGCCACTCCGCTAAAATGCCTCCTCAAACTGTTCCCCACATGCTCCCTGTTGATGTCAAAGTGCTGTGCTGGAGCCTTAATAAATTATCTGTGGGAACATTTAAAAAAAACAAAAAGAAAAAAAAATCTTAACTAGGATTTATAATAGTTCCAAAAGAACTGAAGTATGCCAAGACCAATGCAGATCTCTGTGGTTACCAGTCGATTCCCTTGACAACAAACTAGCAAGAAAGGATGGTTCAAAGTCTGGCATGGCTGGGATGTTTTAAATGAAGTATTGTACCACTTAAAATAACTTGCTGATCAAGTGAGTCTTCACTAGCTCTTTTGTTCACAGGGATCTCTGTTGTGGTACCATTTATTGGCTAAAGTTCACCTCTATGAAAATCGCTAACATTGTTTTATTTAAAAAGCAATTCAGTTCCATGTTCTTAGTTTAGTTAATACTAAATCGAGTCATATTGGTATATAGTTAAATACACGGGCTTCAAAGTTAGACTGCCTCATTTCAAATCCTGGAAGGATGAATCATTATTAGTGCACTCCTGTGAAAGTTCCTTACCTCTGTGAGTCTCAGTTTTCCCGTCTATAAACTGGGGCAATATCTACCTTACAGGGTTGCTAGGAGGATTAAATGGTATCGTGCATGTAAAGAGCTTAGCACAGTCCCAGGTCCAGAATAAACACTCAGGTAATAGATGTTACGATTATTTCCTCTCCTTTTATTAAATAAATGTCTTAGATACTCTCTGGAACAAGAGAACTTAAGTCAGGCTCAGCGAAATTTAGACCCTGCCTCAAGGAGAATATTGATCCAAATAAAAGCACATACTAAAGCATAAAACAAATTCTTAAGCTTGATTTATTTGGCTCTGATTTTCCAAGTTTGTCTTTAGGCATAAGAAAGCAAATGTAAAATATTCAAGTAATTAATATTTCATAGGTAAAATCACATACAGCAACACGATACACACATATACCGAGTAATGGGGTGGGGTGGAGCAGGAAGTGATTGTCTAACGGGGGTGAAGCCTTAGAAGAGAAGCAGGAAAGACGCCCAGGATTGTCTGCACCTGCTCAGAATCTCCATATGGAACTGCACAGATAATAAAAATTTTTCTTCTTAATGATCTCAACTTTACTCTTCCTCTGTGGATAGCACGCACACGTTAAAAAATGGATGAACTAAGTGTATTTGAAAGGGGACACAGAGATATTTATTTTCTCCATGCTGTCTTGGGTGGACTGGTCTAGTCAGTCGTCCTTGATCTTAATCTGGATCGGGACCACCAGGGTTGAGCATGTAACGCTGCCTCCAGACTCATCCTGGCCTAGACCTCCTTTCTGGGGAGCCTGCTGCTGTCTGGCCAACTTCCAGAATGGACTGTAGCCCATTAACTGGATGAGACTAGCAAACACACCCAGAAGCAAAGAAGAGAAAAAAACACAATCAAGATTTCGCCTCATCTAGTGCTCGTGGTCCTTAAAATACACTTTTGCTTGACAGAGGAAATAACCCCCACACAAAATCTCTACTGTCCCAAATCAAGCAATGAGTCACATCTGTCAGCAGCATGCACGATAAAAAATAAAACTCACCTGGTTTCTCCATCGCCGCCCTTTAAAACAATCATCCCTTATCAGAACAGACAAAATATCTTCCATCTTAATCTCAGAAACGCTGTAATAGAAAGGAATCACATCAAGGTAAACTTTTTGTTCTTTTGAAACACCTAAAATCCTGACACATAAAACTGGCCTATTCTCAAGCTAGTTAGACACGAAGTACAAGCAACACCTTCCTAGGAAAGGGAATATTTTCCTAAACCCTTAGGAATTCAAAAGGAAGGGACAGATAGGATAATAATCCCAACAATTTCTTTCCTTCCTAATGAATTTAAAATAGGTTACATTTAGAATTTCCTTTATAGGGAATGTCTTATTATTTCTTAAAAAATCTTGAATACTAAACAAGTATGCCTGCTCATTGGCTTGAGCACATTAAAAAAAACATTTCAGATAGTCTCTTTAGTTTTATACTTAAAAAAAAAGACAGAAAAAAGATGGCTAAATATCCACAATTATCAGGTAAACACCCCAGTGGAGGGTAACAAGTCAACAGAGCCCCCACCCATAGCAATACTACTCTCTTCTAGCCTGGAGGATCGTCACTACTCTTGTCTCTTATATTACGGGGTGAGGACCAAAAGATCTCCAATGAATCTAGAGCTACAAGCAAATTGCTAAAACCTGAATTTGGGCTTCACTCATGAACAGAAGCCTTCAGGAGCCAGAACAAAAGAGCTGGACCTGCGTACCGGTGGAGTGTGGAAAGCCTGCACTCCATGCCGCCGGCTGCAAGGCCACAGCGTCTGCATGTGGGGAGCAGATACAGACTCGTGCACTAGGGACGAAGGAGGAAACATGAGCTGCTGAAAAGATACTTCGCAGGGAGAAGGAGAAAGAGAAGGCGAAGGAGGAGTTCTGGGAGAGAAATATGGATCATAAAAAGACAAACGGTTTTGTTGTTTTTTTTTTTGTTGTTGTTGTTTTAAAAATGTAACAGCAAATTAAAACATGAATGGCAACCTCTTACGTGGGAGAAGACAATTCTCCCCCTTTTCCCCAAAGGTTACTCTGACAAGGCTATGAATGAAAATGTCACATCTCTGACAGCGATTTACCTGAGATGTGTCATCTTCTCCCTGAACACCCCCAGCCCCCACCCGCAGCATCTTCTCTTTGCTGCCAACTCACGGTCCTATGGATATGTGAAGTCTTTTCACAGCAGCCAGACTCGATCGGAGAAGGCAGAGCATGTGCTGAAAGGATGGGAGTCGGAGGGAGAGTGCCATGGGTTCACGGAAATCTGTTTTTCATATGAGAGAGGAATGTATGGCTACTGAGCTTGCCTCTTACTTATGCCTGGAGATCTGGACGAAAGCGAAAGCATAGCCCAGTCCTATCTTTCACTTGGTCTACCTGGTTTGCCTCTATTCGTCACTTTTTTCTTGAGGAAAAAAAAGGGAAAATGCAAAAGTAAAAGAAACATAAAAACTTGGGAGTGAAATCTTGAAGCAGGAAGGAACAAGAATAATGCCATTCACAGTCAGGTATACAAAAGCTATGCCACAGAAAGACACAGTCTTCTCAAATGCACGGAAGCACTGAAATTCCAGCCACAGCACAATACAAATGCCGCGTGTCCACATGGCCATGCCGGGGGATTGACTCCCGAGGAGAAGAGGAGCTAAGAATGAACCAGAGTGATTCACAGTTTAAAAGGGCCTTCTTCCTCTTTCTAAGAAATCATTGCTTCTGAGGAACAAAGCAAATCTACGATGATTATTTATGGGTCTATCAACAGATCTGAATACCCCACCTTAGTATGAAATGAGATAGATAAATAAATAAATTCAGGGAACTGTCTTATGCCTGATCTAAGAAATACACGTTTTGGATGAAGCATTTACATTTTAATAAACCAATGATGACTTTCATTAGAAACACATTTAAAGGGGAAGTAGAAAAAAGTTAAGTTGGCAAATACAAAGAAGTCAAAAGAATACAGAAGCGAAGTTCTGAGCTTTCAGACAGAGGCAGCCATGGCCCAGGGAACCTGTCTCTTGCCCAGTCTGCTAAATCAAATCGTCAGGGTGAGTTCCACAGCACTCGGTCTATGAAGGCAGGCGGCAATTTGTTGTGATGGCCCTTGCTGCCGAGAGCCTCGGCCTGCCTTCCTGAATCTTCCCTGTGGTTTTTCAGCCGTCCGGGCATCCCCCGCCTGGCTCTCATCTTCTTAGGCACAAAACATACACAAACTTCCTCCCACTCCTCCTCTAAAAAGTATTCAGGAGTGTACCTTTTGGATTCTAGAAAGGTTCAAGTCTGCTTCTTCTCACTGCGCACTTTGCAACCAGCTCTTAATAGATTTTTTAAAATTAAATCACAGAAACAGTTATCCATAGATATCCAATGTATAGTCTTCCTTCAAACAGAAATCGGAAGTATAATACACGGCTATAAGATAATAGCCCAGATTCTGCCCTCTGTCCAGGCTGATTACAGCTACCCACGAGGGAGGCAGCAGCCCAGGCCTAGGCCCTCAGCAGGGGAGTGTTCAGGGTAGACATCAGCAGGTGGGACTCACGCAGAACTCTTCCCTCCTCACATAAATGTTCTTACACCAACCTGTATAGTCTCTCCCCAAAAGACCTAAATCTTTTCCTTTCAGGACTTCTCTATCGTCACCCTTCTCAACTTCCTCTCGGAGGCCATGTCCCTGGCACCCCTGCGTTGTCTTTTTAATGTCAACATTATGTTTTATCTCATGTGAATGTTGGCATACTATTTTTCCAGACAAGATCATCATAGTGGATGACTGTACTTGTTATGTCTTTAAAATATACCTGGCACACTAATAATTCACGTCTGTGTAATCATTGTTTTCCCTTTTCAATTTTAGGTTTATATTTGAATCCTTCATAGCAACAACTTGGATGAGTTTATGGAGCAGACAGAGACAGAGGCACCTACGCTGTTTACTCTGGCCTTAGACAATTATTGTTTGACTTTGTACCTGTTATAACTCATTTTTACGAGGAGATCATGTCAAAGTGAACCAGCATACGAGAGCATCCAGAGAGCTGCTGAGGGAAAGCAACGGGAGAATGTGAATTTACGTTTTTTTGAGACATAGTCGCACTCTGTCGCCCTGGCTAGAGTGCAGTGGCATCACCTCATAGCTCACTGCAGCCTTAAATGTCTTGGCTCAAGCAATCTTCCTGTCTCAGACTCCTGAGTAACTAGAACTACAAATGCACACTACCACGCCTGGCTAATTTTTCTATTTTTTTGCAGAGATGGGCTCTTGCACTTGCTCAGGCTGGTCTCGAACTCCTGACCTCACGTGATCCTCCCACCTCAGCCTCCCAGAGTGCTAGGATTACAGGCATGAGCCACCGCGCCCAGCTGAGAATGTGAATTTGCAGGTCTAGAATGGAAAGAGGAGGAAAAGAGGTGTGGAGCAATTGACAGGCTATTAAGGTGTGGTGACTAAATTTTCTATTGTGGGGCCACAACACAAAATTCTGAAAGTGCTTTCCACATGTATACAAATCCCCATGACAGAGAAAACAGCTACAGCACTGTGACGGCTCGCAGCCTGCGAGATCAGGGCAAGTGAAGAAAGAGAACCAGCTCCATCAACGGGCTTGCATTTCAGCTCCTTCAGTGTTTCTGGGGTACACCGGCCTGGTACGGTGCTGACCTAGGTGCTGAGTAGGCCTCAGGGAGCTCAGAGTCCAGCTGGAGAAACAGCGCTGGGTGGAAAGTGACTGACTGATGGATCTACACGAGATTTCCTTCACAAATAAGATACAATATGCACATCTTCCTGAAACAAATAAAGACCACTTTTTTGACTGACAGATTATATTAAGATAAGGAACAAACTGGATAAAAGGAAAACCCGAACTATCTCTATTTTGGCCCACCTGCAATTCCTACCAGGAGCAGGTTCCTGCCTCCCTCCACACGGAAAGATGCATGGCACCTTTTCCGAATAAGCCTCAGTCCATAAACATTCACACTAACAACCTTGAAAGGGTTTTGAGAAGTCTTACTAGCGTGAGAGGGAGAGTTCTGGGCAAGGAAAAAAAAGAAAGAAAACTATCCCACTTAGCAGCACAGCTGAGCTGTGCATTCATGGCACAGCACCGGGTCTGGAATCCAGGGCTTTCCTCGGAGGAACGTGAGGTGCTGTCACCGACTGTACTCCACACAACACGGTAGCTGGAAAGTCCTGGATGCCTCAAAATTATTCCCCTCCGGGTTTATTTTGTTGGGAGAGGGGAACTGTGTGATGAGTAAAAAGTATCGTTTTTTTAAAAGACAAATCAACTTCAACAAGATGTTAATTGTAAGAAATAAAAGTTGCGAATAGAAAAAGGTCTTCAAGAGGCCGTGAGGGCTGTGCACATTGTTTTACAGCGAGAGAAACGAAACACAGACTTCCGAAAGGAAACCGAGCGCAACAGATCATCCTGTGACTTAGTCTGGCAATGCAGTGAAAATTGTCACGTGCTGATGGTATTACGGGTTTTAGTTTTTGCCACTGGCTATTCTGGGACTCATTTAGGGATCACAAGGGTTAATGGCTCTTCTTCAGCTTACAAGGCCCATCCACTATAAAAAGCGACAGAAAGTTAATTAGGTGAGATCAGCTGAAACCACGTTCAGGTTTCTGACTCACTTGATTTTGTGAGAAGCCAACGAGTTGACATATTCTGCCTCCGAAGGAGCCAAAATGAGCAGGCTGCTCCCATGGCAGCCAATCCGGGCAGTTCTTCCAATCCGGTGGATGTATTCTGCAGGTGAGGACGGAGCATTGTACTAAAAAGGGTAACAAAAATGAAGGCATTCATAGATCAAGGGATTGCCATTAATTGGAAGTGCAATACCCCTCACCTGCCTCCAGGTATCCTAAGAATTAAATCCTGGTGCTATGGTTACCCTAACACAATCACAAGGAGAAGTCATTCAACCCTGAAACTCCTGGCTTCATTGGAAATAACAAGGCTCTGACATGCAAATGTGAACAGTGGCCAAGTTTCAGATAAACGAGACGTCTTCTCATCCCAATACCTCCTTTTAATTTTACTTCTCCACAGGTCTCTTCATTTTCCTATTTGCATCTTTTCACTGAGGTGACTGCGCAGGGTGTAAACGTAGGCAGGTGGGGTAAACTCCAGGATGACCGCATGGACTTGGCCTGTTTCCTTGGTAGAAGGAGCAACAGGGATGAGGCAGCACAGGACCCCGGGTGGCGCAGGGACGAAGGGAGCAGGCCCCGGAGCCAGTCCCCACCACCTTGCTGCAGTTCCGCTCAGTCCCTACGGAGTGGAGTTGCGGGGTGGTCGAGAGGCAAGTTCCCTGCGAGTGGAAAGCGCTTCTGCTCCCACGGACAGTATTTCTGACTCAGGGAAAAGGGCAGACTCTCTAACTCGGCAGAATGGGTTACGCATAACATTTTATATTTTCTTTGGCAATAACTTTGTCACCATTAAAGTTAATTGACCACATATTCATTCTTCCTTTTTTTTCTTTGCTGCTACACACACATGGACACACACACACACACACACACACACAAGATCAGAGGACCATGGTGAACAGAATATATGGGAGGCTAGGCATATTAAATTAATCTCTATTCACAATATAAGAAGCTCTAAATGATCAATTTTGTATGTCTGGGCTCCCACACATTGAAATTACCCTTATCTTCAATTCGTTCTGTGGCCAGGAGGAAAGAAGACACAATGCCTGTAGTCCCAAAGTGATCATATATGGTGAGCAGATCAGATTTCCTAGCCAGTGACAGGCATGCAATTCCATTAAAATGTGAATAAGCCATGACTCATGTAAACAGGGCACATGTCCCTTGGCCTCCATGCAGAAAGGCTTAAAAATACCATTCTGCAGACTAACGAAAAGAAAAAACAAAACTAAAACCACGAGACTCTAGTGCTAACACCTGTAGCCTCTGGCAAAGCGTCTAAGGCTAGAGGTATGTCTAAGATGCTGTCAGGAACTTAATTGCTCCCTCCAGGTCAATGTACAAGGACACGGCTCTCAGGACAGCTGAGCCACCTCCTTCTGGACACGACGAGGTCTCCCAGGAGCCCAGGTAATTCCTGTTATTTTCAGATTGTTGAAATTTTGGTTTGTGACATGAATTAGTGTGGGAGCAGGAGAGCCTGCCACCTCCCTCCCCTGAATGCACATTCTGGCTGTTTTGCTGCAGCAGTTAGGTAGGCTGGGTTAAGGAAAGATGTCAGGAGAATTGTGTAGATAAGACTCGTTTGCTGCCTGGTTACCAGGGCAACACCCAAGAGGGTAATAATAATTATTCTACTTAAAGCCAGTGTATCCACTCATGATCATATATCCCTGCCTAAAGCTTACATCTTAACAACTAAAAAATTACCTGAACAATCCACGTGACTTGAGGGAGGTCTAAGCCCCGAGCTGCAACATCCTTAAAAATAGAAAAGAATGTGGTTTAGGACTGAGCTGCTGAATCTTTTTTGTGTCCTGGATATGTCTGACAATTTAATGCAAACCCAGAGAGTTCACCCACCCTGCCGCAATCCTGCATACAATTTCAGGGGGCTCAGGAACCCACTTAAGTCCACTTATGGTTAAAAATTCTGATTTGGGGACAAGTTCTACAGAACCAGTTGGTGAGGAAGCCACAACCCGTTTCACTAAAATAACATAATCCATAGGTTAGCCCAGAAACTTACACAGTAATTATCAATTGTGTCAGGTAAGAATGCTGAAAACTTCTAGCATGTTTTACTAATTCACATTTTATCTGAAAAGCCACTTTTTGAGGAAGGTATTCATGAATTATTATCCCCAACCCATACCCATGAGCAATGCCTAATGAAGATACGGCTTTGAGGTGTGCGTCTGGAGCATCGCCCCTCACGGTATTCACTTGTGGAGGTGAGCTGCAAAATATTTACTAAGAACTTTGCTTATTAGCCTGAGAGCAGTAAGGATCAAGTAATCCCCCCCATCCCTTCTGATAGCTAAATTAGAAGTCAGGCCAGACCCACTAATCACTTCAAAGACTTAACTAGACAGCTGAAAAGCTATGAAAGCAATGGAGATTCAAATTTTCTTTTCAACTGGTCACCACTCCAAGCGCAAAAATTCTTTGCTCTCTAGCCTCTCACCATTCTGGCAGAGACTAGAAAATGGGCATCTCCCAGTCTTTGTCAAGAAATTCTCACTTAGCATTCATTTTTCAGCATACAAGTCCTAACAAGAATGTTCCCAGTTAACATTTACTGAGCACTTACCACACAATGCACACCACACTCTGCTGCACATTTTACCTACCTTGACAACTCCTCAAAAAACTATTACCCCCATTTAACTGATGAGGAAACTTAAGGTTCAGGAAGGTTAAGTAATTTGTCCTGGGACACACAGCTAAGAAGCAGAAGTAACCCTCAAATACAGGTCTGCTTTACTTTTCCAAGGCTATATCATACTGCATTCCACCATCAAAAAAGATGCTCCCGTCCCTCATATGCTGCCAGTGGAAATCCCTATGGCAGGGAATTTGGTGATATCTAGCAAAATAACATACGTTCTTGCCCTATGACCCAGAGCAGTATCACTTCTAGAAATTCACCCAAAGATACTCTGGCAAAAAAGTGATATATGCATACGGCTATTCATTTCAGCACTATATATAATAGCAGATCTGGAAAAAACTCCAATGTCTATCAGCGGAAGACAGGTTGAAAAAATGTGGCAATACCCCATAGAATAGAATATTATACAACTATAAAAAGAACAAAGATTTCTACATAATGATATGGAAAATCTCTAGGATAAATTTTGAGTATGTACAGTATGCTTTTGTGTAAGAAACTGGGAAAATATAAACATATTTGCCCGTATTTCAATAAGAAATAATGGAAAGAAAAACCCCAACGCTCATAAAATAGTCATCTATCAGGGAGGAAGAGAACAGGCAGGACAGGACAAGGATGGAAGCTAGACTTCCTTTAATGAACCTTTATACTTTTGACTGAGACCATGTAAATGTTGTAACATGATTAAAAAGATAATCAGCTGTCACGCAATAGGAAATACACAGCATAGCATTAGTGCATGACATAGTGTTGCCAAAAACCCAGGAAACTGAAACCTAGAACCTAAACCTAATTGAGTGTCTTTTTTTTTTTTTTTGAGACAGAGTCTCACTGTGTTGCCCGGGGTAGAGTGCCGTGGCGTCATCCTAGCTCACAGCAACCTCAAACTCCTGGACTCAAGCGATCCTCCTGCCTCAGCCTTCCGAGTAGCTGGGACTACAGGCATGCACCACCATGCCCGGCTAATTTTTTCTATATATTTTTAGTTGTCCAATTAATTTCTTTCTAATTTTAGTAGAGACGGGGTCTCGCTCTTGCTCAGGCTGGTTTCGAACTCCTGAGCTCAAACAATCCACCCGCCTCGGCCTCCCAGAGAGCTAGGGTTAATTGAGTGTCTTGATACAACTAGTTCATAGGGAATATGGGAGAAAGAGGAACATGCTAAATAACACCATGAGGGCACAATTAGCCAAATCCAGAATGTAGGGTATTCTAAAGGGCAAGGATCTGGTTTCTTCAAAAAAAAAATTAAAGGGGAAAAAAAAGAAGGGATAATAAAAACAAAACAAAAACATAAAAAAGATGGATGGATAGATAGAGTGATAGATGGATAAACTGAGAACAAATACCTTGAAGGAGGCTCACAAAATTGTCAGTTATTATCACTGGACAGAGGGATCTGGGGTGATTTTTACTTTTCTCTTTGTGTTTTCTTGTGCTGTTTGCTTTGTTTTTCTTTTAACCATGAATGCATATCATTTATTCGAAAATTTTTATTTAGAAAAATTTAAACCTACAGAAAAGTCTGAAGACTAATACAGTGAGCACCTGTAGCTCCTTCATCTGGATTCATAAATTGCTAATCTTTGGCCCATCTGCTTTCTCTTTTTCTCTCTATGCCTTATGGACACATATGTATCCTGTATGGGTAACGCTATGCTCCATCACTGGAGTAGAGCAGTGCCCACCAGCCCCCTCCATGTGAAGGGAGGTGATGAGTAAGTAACTGGAGAGTAAAACTCTGAGACCATGCAAATAACATGGTCCTGTTTCTGAAGCGTTCTGCATCTATTGATGCTCCTTGTCTATATTAATTGTTACCTTGATGGCTACGAATGATGACTTTCTATCATCTCTTCCTTCCATTTCACAGCTGTGAGATTCTTCTGTAAAGAACAGCTCCCCCACTTACAGTATCACAAAGGACTCACATGTACACAGCTTTTTTGAAAAACAATACTGCGCAAAGTCTCTATAAGAAGCACATTCCCTGCATCCCCCAGGGTCAGAGGCAGGACTTGAGGAAGACACTGTCCCACCCTCACTCCTCCAGAAGGACCACTGAGACATGTGTCTGCCTTCGTTTAAACCTGAGATTTGCTGGTTTCCTTTGAATGGTGGCTAGGCTAGGCATTTGTAGGTATGTAAGCAGAAGTTTAATGTACTAAAAGTGTGTCAACCACCCATGAAGTGTTTTCAGACGGCTCCCACATGCTCTGAAAGCTGATGTTGCAGAGCTGATGCCTTTGAGAACACAGCTTAGAATGTTCTCTATCTAAAGGGGAGCAGGAAATGCTTTCTACACTAACCACTGCTGATCTCTTCAGAAAAACTGATGGGTTCTTAAATCTGCTGAGCTCTTGTTAAGAAATGATTTATTTTATTTAAGTGCTCTGCAGTGGGAGATACATGCAGACAATAGGCTGCCTAAGCTTTGCAGACAGGCTTTGTAAAAAATTTAATGCTCATTGGTTTAGTAAATTCAACCAAGAAACACAGACAAGACTCTAAAATAGCACATCATGTCTGTGAAACTCACTGTGAGTGCAAACACACTGAAACAGTGAGTTAAAAAGGATGCCAGCAGGCTCATTGTGATTCTTCAAGGTTCTATTTCGCACGTGGGTGACCGAGCTCTGAACAACTGGCTGAGATACAATTTTCCTGTCTCCCACTACTTCTTACGTTGGGGGAACCTCTCGTGACAGTCAACCACTACCTACTACCCCTCGTTTTCTCTCACCCAGATTGAATGCAGCCATTTCTTTAGGCACTTCTTTCTCTTCCCAGCCTAAGCTACCACAGAGACCGAGGGAAAGGACCAGCCTGGTCTGGGAGCAGAGGGAACTGGACTACTTGCTTCAGCCTCCCTTCAGGAGCGATCCAATCTGGGCAAGTCAGTTCAGCTCTCTGAGCCTCACTTGACCCACCTACAAAATGGCTGCAAGAACCATCCTGTTTATCTCGTGAGGTTGTTGTGAAGATCAAAAGATACAATGTGTTTGACAAATGTCTTGAGAACTGTAAATCTTAGCATCGCAGCCATTTCATGGTGAACTAAGAATTGGTATGGTGGCACTTAGGTGGAGAGGTGATTTAACCGTCTCTTCACTCTTCTCCCCATCACACCTCATTCACTCCCCACCTCCACTCTCCAGGCAGAGGACCCAAAGAAGCAGAAGACTGCCCCCTCTTCCTGGAGTGCCGTTGGCCAGCTGCCCAGATCACCAGGACCCAGGACCTGCCTAGCACTCGGCAAAAGCTTCTGTTCTCTGCCTACTCTTAGGACCTAAACACAGCCCAATTTTATTCCTTTAACCTAATTAAGGCAAAAGAATTGCTAAAGTCAGTTCTGAAAGACACTCAATGGTGAGGCCTTGAAGGCCCTGGGCTTGACAATTGGCTGCCTCCATGAGACCTAGGAGTACAGATGGAAGGCAGCTTGCTCAGGTGCCAGCCTGTCAGTTGGATTAAAATGACTCATTTATTTATCCAAGAACCTCACAAAGTGCTTTTACTAACAGGGAGAGGGGGCCTGCCGTCTCTCTGAGAAGGGACGCAGCAAACTCGCCTCTGACGCCTTCCCGGCCTGCCAAAAGTCATTATTGCCGTGTGTGGAAAGCCATCAGCAGGGTACAGGCCCCCGTTGTCCTGGTGACAGATTGGGCTGCGTAATCAGAGGAGGAAGGAGAGAGTGCAGAAGCTGTCAGAGGCGAGAGATCTTGGCTGAAGCCGCCAAAAAACTGGCAACATGAGTTAGCGTAACTGAGTAAACAGAAACAATCTCCAAATGATCTTTCCATTAACACAAATGAAATAAAATGAAAAAGATAACTTTACCTAAAAAGCAAACCCCAGAGAAATGCAAGCAAGTCTAGATTTATTTGGGGCACTGAATTGACATTCTTGTGACTCTAAGAGCCTTATTTCCTTTGTCTCCTAGCCTCCTGGCATGGTGGAAATTTCCCAGGAGGAGAGGAAATTAAGAACTGCACAGACATAAGTGTGCTTGAAGCAAAAAAAAAACAAAACAAAAAACCGACCAAACAAAAAAAAACCTCCAAAACTGAGAAGGTGGAAGGAAGCAGCACAGGTGATTTAGGTGTGTCTTCTGAAAAAGAAAGGCATGTGCAGGACAACCAAGATATGTTCCAATTAATAATCAGTTGGTAGACCTGGGTAGAGCCAGATTCCTTTCTGGGGAAAAGGTTACTTACCCCATTTATCCAGGGACAACCAAGGAGAGCCATTTGGCCCAACAAGAGGTCTAGGGGCAGCCTTAAAATCAGAGGTGGCATGGAATTTCCATTTTCTAGTCACGAAATTGTGTATCTATCAATTCATCAACATAACAATGGCTTTAAAAACCATGTTCCCTGACTTTACCTTAAGGTGAGTTCTTCACTATAAGCAGGAGTAAATAATATTTTACAGATAATCCAGTGTCTTCTATCTGATTCCTTTGGCTTCTTAATTCCATTTTCCAGTTTGGCTTTGAATTTTCAAATGACTCCTTTCTGCTCATCCCTACTCCCTACTTAACTTGGCCTTTTCTTAGATCTAATTTCCAGAGGAAACAAGATTACACTGCAAATGCATGAAGACTTCTTCTCTTTCACAAATTGGTCCTTTTTGCCTCAATTACCCTTCTACTCTTGCCCAGACTCCACCTCCCCATGGTCATTTACTGTACAGCCAAAGTACACAAAGCTGTGTATCAGGTCCTGAGCGAGTTGCATGAAATTAAAAATGTCCTTGCTTTTAAGATGTTTAAAATTAAGATGAAATAAAACACACATACACACACACACACTCCCCTACCTTTAACTGTTCCTAGCAGGAAGGAAAACAGGGTGGAGGGAGGGAACTTTATAACAGTAAAGGAAATAGCATAATTGTGAACTTTTGTGTGGTTATACCACAAATTCCAAATTTTCATAAAGACATTCAGTTTTCTGGCCTTCTTAAAAGGATTTTGGGATGATAAATTAAAATGGCAAAAGATACAGTATAAAGGGGGAAGAATCCCCGCGTGACAATTAACAACATGAGTCCTCTTTGTCAAAAGGAGCCAGTGCTCCATCTGTCTCGTCCTGACGTGGCCCTCGTTCCTCATTAACACCAAGGAGGCTCCTGGAGAGCACTCAGATAGCCTGGCAAGCAACAGGCTGCTCAGAAGGACGCAGAGTGACAGTATCTCCCCCGACCCAAGCATGATCTATTACAGCATGTGTGTCCCACGCACCCCACGGCTCTAAGACGCGCCAGAAGCGTCAGGCTAAAGCAAACAAACGTGGCAGAAGTGTCAGGAATACTGAGAGAGTAAGCAAAGATTTTCTCATCACCAGGGAACCTGTGCTCCTCGTCTGACCTAGAAACCGAGAGAAATGAGCCCCACCCAGCTCTTCTCCAGTCATCTTCACTGCAGAGTAAAGAAGAGATGAGATGTTGGCGGATCAGCACACTGGAAGTGGCCTGGACCAGCAAATGAACAAGGACCAAGAGGCTTTAGAGAAATTGGATGTGGGCAAGGGAGAGTTTGCTTTATGTTTGCACCCAGGACTGGCAGGGCACAGAGGGCTGGGGGATGCTGTGCTTTGCCAAGACAATGGCGTTCTTTGCCTAGCTTACATCTTTGCCTGCGGTACCATCAGCCAGACAGAACAAGGAAAGCGATATGCTTTTGACCCCACTGAGAATTGTACTCCAGAAAGAATGATCTTTTCTTCCACGTAGAGCTACTAAGAAAAAACAAAAAACTAAACTTCAGATACCTGAGTTTTCTTTGAGACTTATAGCTCACCCATGTCTGTAAAGCACAGTGGCGCCTGCAAATCAGGAGATGATTTCCCAGGGATAAATCCAGCATCTTATGGGTCAAAGATAAAACATTTTGTTCCTATCCTAACCCAAACTCCAACACAAAGGTTCCTACTGCTTTCTATTCCAACATAGACAATCTGTAGCATTCACTCCTCACATCACATAAGAGGTATGAAAAAGTACACTCATTCCCAACGAGCAAGTATTACTACATCAATCTCTACCTCTCTGTTTTTAGAAGAAGGCATATATTGGTGGCTCTCAACATTGAGTTTGTTGGGCCCTATCTATCCCACCCAATTCAACTCACAAATACCAAGTGCCTATTGCATGCCTACTCTGTGCTAGATACCGGGATGGAAGTGCAAACAAACCACTGTCCTTATCTTCATGGAACTTATGATCTGGAAGGAAGAACCTAGACCAGGTATAACGAGCACTCCAAAGAATGAGCATCTACAGGGTACGCTGGGCGTACCTAACAGGGAAAAACTGGGGCCCCTGGTGTTCAATTCCCTAAAGAAGTGAAATTTAAGCTGAGACCTAAGTATGGGTTAGTCAAAGTCAGGGTGGGGTGTTCCAGGCCAAGGGACTAGCATGTACCAAGGCTCCAAGACCAGAAAAAGCCGGAATGACATATTCATGGAACTGAAGGAAGGGCCTGTTTGGCTGAAGGGCAGGAGCAAGAGGAATGTGGGGTGAAAGGAGACAGACTGGGGTCAGGTGCTAGAAAGTATTATTGCACATGATAAGGATTTTTGACAAATTTCTTTATCAAGTAGATTATCTGGACTTTACTTTAGACCAGGTATTTAGAGATGGTTTTAGAATAAACAGAGGCATTTAATTTGTGGATTGGCTTCATAAAGGGAAGGGCTACTTGGTCAGACACAGATCTCCTTAGGGGGCAAGTATTCCATTAGTAACCGTTCTCAGATCAGAACGAGTATTGGTAGGGCTGTTTACTACACACATGTAAGAATCAGCACTGTGATATGTGCGTTACCAGGCAAGCCTGCTTGTGGATGAGCACACATACACACAAAAGAAACAAACCTGTACTGACCCCCAAACTCTACATTTAGAAAGAAAATAGTCACTATTACCTTTAAAACTGAATATGGAGTATAAGTTCCTTAAAAAGTAATTGCATTAAATGAGGCCTAGACAGGCATTCGAATAACTGATGTCTTTGTTCCTACCCAGCACTTCCTCGCCAGATTTACTAAACTTACAGCACAATTTCCTACTGCACACACAGGAACTTCAGTAACTAGGTGGATAAGATGGCACAAGCAGAGAAGGTATTTCAATCTTGGGAGACAGTAACAACTAGGGAAAAGTGAATCCCCAGAGAGGAACACTGAAGGTGTGACTTTTCAATCTCGAAGGAGCATGAGATAAGCATGGAAAAGGTCAGTGCTGTGCTGGAGGAGGCAGCTAACCAGACTGCACAGACTGAGGCTGAGGGGACCAGCGTTGGAAATTGTGGCACAAATCAGTGTTTGAGACAATAGCAAATATTAATAAAATCTGCCCAAGTGCACTTATTTTCCTTGAAGAAAAAGTGAGCAGAGGCAAGTAGAGTCATTTTGTCACGGAAAGACTTTCTCAGCTCTAATTACTCCCGATAGCTATAATTTACAAGTTTTTGGTAGACAGAAATCGTCAAGATTCACACATTTTCAGACCAACAGCTGCCACTATTAGTAAGCAAATTGCCAAGTCTTCTGCACGGTGGTGGCCGGCTATCTGTGGCACAGTCAGGTGACAAGCCAGAAGTGCAAAGAGGCCAGCCACATCAAGAGGGCCCTGGTGCTCCCACTCCCTATGGGGCTAGCACAGGACAAACTGCCAAGAGACAAAAATTACAACTGCCGTTACGGAAATATTTCACCCTTCGCAGGGAGCACAGAATGATACATACCGTGCAAAGAAGGACGCCTCTTTTGGAATGTGAGAATTCCTGAAACACCGCTGTTCTTTCCTACAAAAACAAGGAAAAATAGGACCTCACAACTCTGAGATAAATTCCAGAAAGGTAGGCTTAGATTTCCCTAACTCTCTGCTATAGCTGTTTTTAGGCAGAGAGGTTTGCCAGGAAAAAGGAAGAAATGGATTCTTCACATCTTTGATGACGACCCTGTACTTATAGGACCAGAATTCTGAGACTATGGTAAAGTAGCAGAGTTTTGAGGTCAGCTTCAATAAGACAATGCCAAGGTGAGCACACCCTTCAGAAACAGCCAATAAAGCCAAAGGTCACAAGTTGCCATACGCAGGGTTCCAAACTCAGAATTTATTCTAAACACGTTCACCTACAAGTGCTCTAGAGCTGTAGTCCCCAATCCAGGTACTGGTCCCTAGGCTGTTGGGGACCGGCCACAGAGCTCTGCCTCCTCCCCCAACCCCTACCTGCGGAAAAACTATCTTCCATGAAATCAGTCCCTGGTGTCAAAAAGGTTGGGGACCACCGCTCTAGAGGAATAAAATATTACCAACCTTCCTCCCTACAGAACAATTTTTTTAAAACTAATTTTTACAAAGATTAAAAATTTATAAAACTACATATTTTAATTATAGAAAAATTATGTTTAAAAGAAGAAAACAAAAAATCATCCTGCCACTAAAGGCAAACCACCACCACCACCACCAGTAACACCTTGATGTTTCCTGAGTCTCTTTTTCATGCATAACTAAATATTAACTCAATGAATCATCACAACCATCCTATAAAGTAAGTAATATTAATACCTCCATTCTAGAAACTGTGAAACTGAGGCACAGAGAGGTTAAATATTTACCTGAGGTCACACACCCAGTAAATGATAGAGCCAGGACAAGAATACAGTTTGCCCCAAGAGGACACAGCTATAAACACCATGCTAGACTACCCTGTTATAATGTGAGATAAACAGTCTCTGCATAATTTAACTATAGAATCTTTTGTATGATCCATTAAAATTCCTAGATTCTCTGAGTCCGTATCCAGCTCCTCTATCATCCTCAGACCTATGCTGCAGAATGCCTCTGGTAAAACCAGACTCAGAGGATTAGTAAACTAAGTTTAAAACAAACAAACAAACAAACAAAAACCCAGAAGACTCTGTATAGCAAAAGCAATCTTAAACAAAAAGAACAAATTGGGAGGCATGAATTTACCAGACTTCAAGCTGTACTACAAGGCTATAGTAACTAAAACAGCATGGTACCGGCATAAGAACAGAGACATAGACAATGGAAAAGAACTGAGAACCCAAATATAAAACCATCCTCATATAGCCATCTAATCTTTGACAAAGCAGACAAAAACATACACGGGGGAAAAGAATCCTTATTCAATAAATGGTGCCGGGAAAACTGGATAGCCACATGCAGAAGACTGAAACAGGATTTTCACCTCTTACCTCTCACGAAAATCAACTCATGGTGGATAACAGACTTAAACCTAAGGCATGAAACTCTAAGAATTCTAGAAGAAAATGTTGGAAAAACTCTTATAGACATTGGCCTAGGGAAAGAATTTATGAAGAAGACCCCAAAGGCAATCACAGTAACAACGAAAATAAATAAATGGGACCTAGTCAAATTAAAAAGCTTCTGCACAGCCAAGGAAACTATCACGAGAGCAAACAGACAACCTACAGAATGGGAGAAAATATTCGCATGTTACACATCCAATAAAGGGCTGATAACTAGAATCTAGATAGAACTTAAGAAAATTAACAAGAAAAAAATCAAATAACCCCATCAAAAAGTGGGCAAAGGACATGAACAGAAACTTTTCAAAAGAAGATAGACTAATGGCCAACAAACATGAAAAAATGCTCAACATCTCTAATCATCAGGGAAATGCAAATCAAAACCACAATGAGATATCACTTAACTCCAGTAGAATGGCCTTTATCAAAAAGTCCCAAAACATTAAATATTGGCATGAATGTGGAGAGATAGGAACACTTATACACTGCTGGTGGGACTGCAAACTAGTACAACCTCTGTGGAAAGTAATATGGAAATACCTCAAAGAGCTACAAGTAGAACTACCATTTGATCCAGCAATCCCATTACTGAGCATCTACCCAAAGGAAAAAAAGACACTCTATAAAAAAGACACCTGCACTAGAATGTTTATAGCAGCACAATTCACAATTGCAAAGATGTGGAAATAACCCAAGGGCCCATCAATACATGAGTGGATTAATAAAATGTGGTATATGTATACCATGGAGTTCTACTCAGCCACAAAAAACAATGGTGATCGAGCACCTTTTGTATTATCCTGGATAGTAGAATAGGCACTTAGTAGAGCCCATTCTAAGTGAAGTATCACAACAATGGAAAAACAAGCACCGCATGTACTCACCATCAAATTGGTATTAACTGGTCAACACTTTTGTGCACATATAATAATAACATTCATCGGGTGTCGGGCAGGTGGGAGAGGGGAAGAAGGGATGGGTATATTCACACCTAACGGGTGCGGTGTACATCATCTGGGGATGGACACGCTTGAAGCTCTGACTTGGGTGGGGCAAAAGCAATTATGTAATCTAAATATTTGTACCCCCATAATATGTTAAAATTTAAAAAAAAATCCTAAAACCATAAATGGTATTAAAGAATGAAATCAGCAAACCTGACTGAATCAGAGATCCCGAAGGTAAAAACCAAGAGTTTATAAAATTCACAAAGGCTAGACTATTCAAGGACTTTTATATAATCTTGTGAAGAATAACCTGTGTCCTTGAGTGACCTTGAGCATGTTCACTTTTCTGGGCCTCCATTTCCTTAATTATTCAAACAAAAAAAGGAGCTGGACTTGTTTGGGATGTCAGATCTCTACTGTCCCTTTTAGCTCTAAAAATGGTATGATTTTTAAAGCTGGTTCTAGTCAAATCTTCTGCTTCCTAGTTTTCTTTCACTCTTTCTAATTTTCTCAGCTGCCTGGTAACCTCTCTGCTAGGACGAAATGGCTCTCATTTCCAACCCGTTTGTCCTTTCTTTCCCAATTCCAGCGAGTATATCTCACTTCCGTACTCCACCCCGACTCCCTAAATGAACGGCCTAGTTAAGAGTAGTGGAATGAGACTTACATAGCTTAATATCTAAAATAAGGGAAATGTGATACTCTTCTTTCTGAACACAGATCTTACTCTGTGCCAAGAAAGAACTGGAAACCCAAAGCCCCTCTGGTACACAGTGCCCTCTCCCAACCAAAAGTGTTCAGAGTGCAGCGCTGTGTCTTGTTGACAATGACAGCAGCCGTGCTCAGCAGTACCATATGGGATCCACAATTTAGCTCCATTAATGCTCTTAATTTGAAGACATCAAGCCCTAATTACACACTGGGTACTAAAAAGGCAAAACCCTTCCCTGGTGCCAGCTACTTAGTGGTACTCTGTTGCCTTAACAGCTGGTTGAGGTAGATTCAGGCCAAGCCAGGGCCTGTGAGCTCTCTCAGGTGGAAGAGACCAGCTCTTGGAGCAAAAGCAAAGGGGAACAATAGACTCCCTTTGCTCACATCAATCCAGCAATGTGATCCACTTCTAGTTCCAGCAGGTCGCCCATTTTTGGCTAATTCTTGCCTTGCCCAGTGGCGTCTACAAGGGACACAAGCCAGTGCTGAGCCTAAAGGATGAGTTTCCTGGGACTTAGGTTTGTTCCCGTGTCCACTCAGAGCCACGCTGCCACACAGGGAGAGATCAGTGCTCACCTCCTGCTCCATGTTGCCATGCAGCCGTAGGAATTTTAATCGCGTGGAGGCAGATGGTAACTGCCCTAATGCCGGGGTGCCTGAGCTGCTCAGCAGGGTCTGTAGAAAGAGGTGGTAGTGGAACTCCACCAGCTCACAACTTGAGAAAAAGACAATCATCTTCTGGTCTTTTTCAAACTAAATTGAGAGAAGGGGGCGAGGGAGAAATCATACTTTTTAAGATTAGGTGACACTAAAATGAGTGTTTCTCTAAAATACACAGTCATTCGTCATGCTGGCCCCGATTTGGAAACACAGGTGACAGACAGCTTTAAATTATTAAAAAACAAAAACAATGATACCCCACTCTACAAAGAATGGAGAAAAGGAAAACGACATAGCTATAATCTCAAACAGGTTTCCCATATCTGAGAAAAAGAAATACAATTTAGAGTGCAGCCATGCATTGGCTCTGTTCCTTTCATTTGCCCAGGGCTTGCCACACACAATACTAGCCAGCTATGTAAGCAGAAAATCTTGAAGTTTTATCCTCAAGCCTTCCCACCTGCTATTTTCCCCTATCCCAGAGAAAGTTATCAGGAGTCCAGTAAATAAACACCAGATTAGGGAACATGAGCACAGCCCCTCTATTTGCCTCACATCCAGCATGTTTCTGCCACCTGTGATGTTCCTAATACTGGTCCCAGGAAAGACATTTAAGGTAGATTTTAAGTGGAACATCATGGCGATAATTGACTTCTGATTCTTTCCACAATGCTAGAACACCGACTGAAAGGTCTGCATCCGTGGACTCAGAGATAAGTTGGAAAACTTTTTCTGTGTGTGTGTGTGTGTGTGTGTGTACTCATTGTTATGAATGTTTGACACAAACAAAATAGATCTTTCTTCCCTGGATCAAGACAGGTCAGTGCCCAGTCCTACCTTGCATTTCTGAAGGATGAAGGCCGCTAGGGAGACAAGCCTCAGTTTGCTGGGAACCAATGTCACGTGCTGGTCCAAACGCTCTGGTATTGCAAAGCTGTTCAGCTCATCACCAGTTTGTGGAGGGGAGACTTCCTGGGCCACTTCGCCCTTTGGGTTAAACTGGTCATGGCTTTCGTCCAGGACAGAAATAGTGACTGGACTGTGCAAACTGATATCAGCTAGCCGTGTTACACCTTGGATAAAATGCAGACGACAAAAACACACCGTGAAATTGGTCACGGATGCATATCCCACACAGCACCATCCAGGTTTATGAAGAAAGTCCTGTGGTTATCACTGTGTCCCAGCACTAATCTGACTGCCCCATGGCCAATTTGGTGGGGCAGACTTACCAAAGAGAAAGTTACCAGGAATCCAGTAAATAAACAGCAGATCGTTAGGGAACATAAGCACAGCCCCTCTATTTGCCTCACATCCAGCATGTTTCTGCCACCTGTGATGTTCCTAACACTGGTCCCAGGAAAGATATTTAAGGTAGATTTTAAGTGGAACATCATGGCGATAATTGACTTCTGATTCTTTTCCGCAATGCTAGAACACCGACTGAAAGGTCTGCATCCGTGGACTCTTTCCACAGCCTAACAGCCAATCCATACCAGTGTCTTACAATCTCACATCTATGGAAGACCATACAAAAGGATATTAACAGATGTCTGTGCCAACACCCACCTCCCAAAAGGGTTCTTTGGTCAAGTAAGTTACAGAAAACCTCCGATTGAAAAGGTTTCACTTGAAAAGGCTTCAGGAAAACTTTTTTGCTACAAGCCCTCTCAGGACCTTTATTGTGTTAATGTGCACTGTGAATAACCAAGGGGGAGGTGAGGGGACATTTGGACATTTCTTAACCTTTTTCTACCACAGAATCCCTTTTCCATGAATTATCTGTCAAAATTAATGTTACTTAGAATATACTTGCAGCACTGTGAGGGGCACACGAATGGCATCTGGTATGTGCACGTGATAATGTGGCCTACTAAATCAAGTAAACCAGACATGAGAACACGAACGCTGTATTGTTGTTCGGACAATGACTCATTGTGGGGGGTGATGCTGGTGGAGTGATACAGCTTTTCCCAGCCTTAGTGTTCCCAACTATCAAACAGAGCTAAGAATTCCCACCTCATGAGGACAGAAGAAAGAATACATTTGTTTGCCGGGTCGGTGGCTCCTGCCTATAACCCTAGCACTCTGGGAGGCGAAGGTAGAAGGATTGCTTGAGGCCAGGAATTTGAGACCAGCCTGAGCAAGAGCAAGACCCAGTCTCTACAAAAAATAAAAAAAAAAATTGGCCAGGTGTAATGGCACTCTCCTGTAGTCCCAGCTACTCAGGAGGCTGAGGCAGGAGGATTGCTTGAGCCCAGGAGTTCAGGGTTGCAGTGAGCTGTGATAACGCCCCTGCACTCTAGCCAGGGAAACACAGTGAGACTGTCTCATAAAAAAAACAAACAAAAAACGGAATATATTTTTCTAAATTTTTAAAGTTAATTATCTCTTTAGAAGAAAAGTAGAATGATTACACTAAAACACGCACTTGGATAAGAGGCCCTCCTCTTCAATACAAGGGCCCTGCTCTCCGTGGGTTGCAATTGCAATAAAAATCTCACGAAGCCACTAGGCCAACAGCAGTAAGCCTGTTCTCTTCCTCTGTACCCTAGCACGAGTACCAGCAGCGTTATTCTTACTTGAGATGATTCTGGACCTGGGACCTGCCCTTTCTTCCTTTCCCCATTCCCTGGGAACACATCAGTCCTGGACGATTGGAAGAGGGAGGCTGGGAATGCGGGACATGTCATTTGAAAAAGCAATTCTCTTGGGACACTTCCCCCGCTCCTCCAAGGTTGAGAATCATCGCTGGCAAACAGCTAGGATTATGCCTACGTCTCTCTTCTTCATTAAGAACACAGAAGGTTCCATCACTTCTTTTTAACTCACCTTCTGTGAGTGTCGCCGACAGCAAGACGTTCTGTCGTTCCTGGCATTCGGCATTTATAGCATTGAGTATTATTGTGATATCCTTTTCAAAACCCAAATCCAAGATTCTGTGGTTATAAGAGAAGAAATTTTAATCTACCTGAAGAGCAAATGTGGTCCAAGGGGCTACAGAAGTTGCAATGAAGACAGCAGAAACAGCTTTTTTCTTCTACCTTTCATGATTCCTAGATGAGGCTCACCTGTCTGCTTCATCAAAAACCAACCACCGTATCCGACTAAAATGAATGTTCTTTGTGGATTTTATATGATCCACCAGACGTCCAGGAGTTGAGATAAGAATATTTATTCCTTTGCGGAGTCTGTTTAAAATTATATATCATAAAAGAAAGTAAATCAAACAGGGCTGTATCAATAGAAAATACAGGAAAAAGGCAAAGAAGATATTCATTTCATGCATAGCATAAATGTGCCACAGCCTAATATCATAACAAAACATGACAACTTGGTAAAAAAGATATAATTGAGTATTTCCCTCTCCTGTAGAATGCAATTGTTAAGATCTGAAATTACATTTAAAATCATAAAACCTTAACTTTCAAAGGACTCTTAACTATATAATCTAATGCTCTTTATCTGATTCATAAATCCTTTCTAGAATATTCCAGATAGATGGTCATCTGGCCTGTTCTTGAAGGTCTCTGTGCCAGGGAACCTATTATCTGAGCAAGTTAGCCCATGACAGTGTGCTCTAATTGCTAGAACATTTTTTTCTTACACTAAACCCTTTTTGTAACTTCCATACAATGGGCCTCAGCTTTGCCCCATGGATGATACAGAATAAATCGAATTTCTTACTCTCCAAACAACCGTTATCCCATTATTTCAAAGTAATAAAAGCCTCCACATTTTAGCTGAATGTATTTTCCAGTTTTCTTTGCAGTTCAGTATGGTCGTGTGCCTATGTTCTAGAAACGGGATAAAAAGATAAAGGGAGTATGCAAATTGCACAAGCACCTTCGGAGACTATGAGGTAACCTTGAAAACGGACACCTTCCACAGTGGCACAAAAAGATAAAAGGAACCTAGGTCCTGACGCTGGACTGGCTCCATCAGACTTCATCATCTTTTTTTTTTTTTTTATTTCCCAACAGCCTTCTTAAATGTGAAAGAAAAATAAAACTTCTATATTGTTTGTGCCACTGCTATTTTAATTGTTATCACACAATCCTAACCATACTTTTAGGTTCCAAGTTTAATATTTACTCCTCAGTTATAGACTACAAGCATAGTTAGGTGTGACTACTAATTATTAATATTAAGCTATAATACAATAAAAATGTTTTAAAAAGAATGCAGACAAGTTGAGATTTACTTGTTGCAACAATTTTCAAATGACACCTATTATAAGTTCTAATACAGAATTAGGAATCAATGTATTTGGGTACAGAAAGCAAGTTGCAAAGGATTATGTAAGTTTATGATCTTATTTTTATAAAACCAAACAACAAAACCTCTAATATCCAATGTACACAAAAGGGAGTCACACCTAGGGGATGCATACTAAACTAGGGGGACTGTGGGGTACCGCAGGGGTGGGAGTTAGGAAGGTGATGAGCACTGTTACTAACCACATCAGAAGGAAACCTGGCTGTAGGTTCATCAGTACTGTAAAAAATAGCACCGTCTAGAGGTGACCGCTCCCCACTGACTCAATCTGTCCCTATGTACTGGGACTAGGAAGCTCAGTCTGAGACAGGGCTCTCTGCAGGTTTAGAAGGACCAAGTCTTACTGAGGAAGGCAAGAAAGACAGAATCAAAAAGGAATGAACAATCAACAAACCTCTGCCTACCTGGCTTTTTCTGATTTTCTCTTCTCTCCTCCCATTAACACTCCAGGCACAATCCAGGTAAATGGCTACAGAAAGACAACAGACCAAAACCAACATGAAGTCCCCTTTACTGAACATACAGAGACTGATTCTAAATTCCTTTTCCTTAAACAAGTTGGGAGGGAGAATTCAGGCTTCTCATTGTATGAAGTGTTATTGTTCCTAGACATTGCCCACCCATGGTTACTATCAGCAGTCACTTGAATTACAGCTGTACAAGTAGCTTCTAACGCTGTAAGCGAGAAATGTAAGCTTTTTAAATGATTCAAGTAGCTTCCCTATCCCCCATGGAGCCTGAACTGAAAGCACACTTCAGTAAACCTATTGCCTTTTTCTCCCCAGTTAAGATAAAACCAAAGCAACACCTTTCCTACTTCCCACCCATGATAAAAGAAAGGACAGATCAATTCATGATCTAATTTAGTGGGTTGGCAGGCTTTGGCTCTCAAGCCTTCTCTCTTCCTTCTTAAACAAACCCTACTTGCAGCTTTTTAAGTTGCTTTCCACTGGATCCCTGTTAAGGTTGTACCTGTAAATTTCTGTATGTGGCTTGAGAGTAACTATTAGTATGATGAACAAATTACAGGACTTTAAGCATCAGGAAACACTGATAATCCAGCCAAGCTAGAAATTGATAGTTTGGTTTAGGTCAGTAAAAATCTATAAACTACCTAGAAAAAGCAGAGACATGCAGGCAAGAGGGAAATAAGAGTAATTCTTCTCTCTCTGAAAATAAAGAAAAGACTACAGTATATTAAATCTTTCCTCAAAAAGTCAGAAAAAAAGGTAAAACTGAACTCATGGTTTTCCTTACCTTAAGCAGTTTCTGGACAGTGTCAAAGCTTTGTAGAGCCAGCTGTAAATATTAAAAAGTTATAGATAATGAACAGGATCCCTTCTTCCTTTTTTAAAAAAAGACAATGTAAAGTGATTAAGATTCAAACTTTGACCTCAAGTTAAGAGTTAGAAGAAAAAAATCCTATACACAGAATCTACTCTGAAAATACACCGTGTTGTTAGATTGGTTCTGCAAACTGTCAGTTTGGGGAATGAAGGTAAAGATATCACATCTATTTTTCTTGGAC